AGGGTGGACATCATTTTGCGAAAGCATATCTCCACAAGCACCACTATCATTAATGTGGAAAAAAATAAAAAAATTTAGAGGGTCATTTTCGGATAACCCGCCACCTTTAAAAGATTCCTCTGCTTGGATCGAGGAATTCATGGATAGACTGGCACCTCCATTTGTCCCAGATAAAGATTTTTATGAAAACAACAATGTCCCCCTATCTCACTCAATATCTTTGCACAATCATATCGATAACCCTTTTTCCATTAATGAATTATCTTCAGTTCTCACTCATTTACGTGACTCCTCGCCAGGGGTAGACGGTATACCCTACTCATTTATTAAAAAAATGTCCGATAACACTAAAGTATTTTTTCTGGCGCTCCTTAACAAAATTTATGATTCAGGCATAATTCCTGACTCCTGGAAGCACCAAATAATTATCCCAATTTTAAAACCAAATAAAAATCCTAACGATCCGCCTTCTTATAGACCTATTGCCCTATCCTCGGTGCTAGCTAAAATCATGGAGCTATTCATTAAAAATAGACTCGAATGGATACTCGAACATAATAATATCTTAGGAAAAACACAGTACGGATTCCGGAAGGGCATGGGTACCATGGACAATCTTAGTATATTCATTTCGGATGCTCGCCTCGCCTTCTCTACAAAGCAAGATATGGTCGGTGTATTTCTTGATGTCACATCAGCCTATGACTCTGTACTTCTTCCGCTACTCAGGCAGAAAATGCATCAGCTGAGTCTTCCCGTGAGGATGATCAATGTCATATTTAACATGCTTTCTGCACGCTCCATCTCAGTTCGCCTCCAGGGTTGTCTTCTTCCACCTAGAATGGTGTGGAGAGGGCTCCCTCAAGGATCAGTACTAAGCCCCACCCTCTATAACTTCTATACAGCCGACCTTGAAAAATGTGTTGAGAGCTTCTGTGACGTCGTGCAATATGCCGACGATATAGCTCTATATTCCTCATCAGACTCTGTTCAAGACTGCTCTATTCAACTAAATACAGCTCTCAGGTATCTCAATGAGTGGTTAACTGAACATGGTTTATCCTTAGCCCCATCCAAAAGTACAGTACTAGTTTTTTCTCGAAAAAGAACAATTCCCTACGCCCCTATTGTCTTGGGCGAGGAAGAATTGCCATACACAGACGAAACTAAATTTTTAAGCCTTATATTAGATTCTCGTTTGTCTTCAATTAACAATCAATTATATCAATAATAAATGTGAGAAAAGCATTAATGTCCTCAGAGCCCTCTCAGGTGTCTGGTGGGGTTCTCATCCATACTGCCAAAAACTTCTGTACAACGCAATAGTTCGAAGCTATTTCGATTACGGTACTTTCTTACTCGAACCCTGCAATAAGACTTCCCTTTCTTCCTTGGACAAAATACAGTCTAGGTGTCTCCGCATAATCGCAGGTGCAATGAGATCTTCTCCGACAAATGCCTTACAGGTAGAAACTGGGGATCCTCCTCTTAATATCCGTAGATAATTATTGTCAGATCGATACCTGTTTAAAATTGCTGAAAACTCTTAACCACCCACTGCTTTCTCGACTTTGTCAGCTTTCCAATCTCATTACTAATTCTAAATACTGGATACATAAAACCACGCCCCACTTGGCTAACAGTTACGAAAAATTGGTCAATGGTCCCCCTATGGCACAATTTCCCGGAAACCCAACATTTAATGTAAATTGTGAGACACTAATATTTGAACCAAACATTTTAACCTTCTTTAATATTAACAAAAACGAACCTGGCGCCGACAGAATTTTTAACAAAACTATCGCAGAAGATTGGACTGACTGGACCCCGATTTTTACCGACGCCTCTAAAACCACCAATGGAGAAGCTGTAGGTGCTGCTGTTTGGATCCCTCGCTTTCAAATAATTTTAAGCTTTAAATGCCGCCCAGAACTGTCCTCCTTTTCGGGAGAAGTCATTGCTTTATATGAAGCTATTAAATATATTGAAGCCCATTCTGAAAAACTTAACAAATCAATAGTTTTCACAGACTCCCGAAGTGTTTTGGATGATATTTTAAAATTCCCTTTACGTGCCAGGCAAAATTTTTATATAACTCTAAAAATCCGAGAACTTTTGTTTAACTGCCATTCTAAAAATATAAATGTGGCCCTCTCATGGATCCCTGGTCATTCTGGCATCAAAGGTAACGAAAAGGCAGACAGCCTTGCAAAAGAGGCTGTAACGATGGGTTGCCCAACCTATGATAAATGCTTTGCCCAAGATCTAAGAAGCAAAGCTAAAGCCGAATCATATCGCGAATGGTCAGCACACTGGAACGACTCCTCACAGTTCAAAGGGAAACATTATAGAAGTCTGCAGCCTTTTCTTCCCTCTAAGCCGTGGTTTCTTAAATACCACTTCTTGGATAAAATCTCCACTTCTACCATTATTCGCTTACGTCGTGGTCACATATGCTCCCCCGTCTTCTTAAAGAAAATTAGGGTTAGGGACCATTCGTTATGCGAATGTGGTCTTGACGAAGGAAACGTCGATCACATATTTTTCAATTGCCTAAAAGATACCATCTCTCTTTATGATATACTGCCTAAAAATATCGCCCGCCCTGTGAATGTAAACCACTTACTAACCATGGTGGACTCTCCCTTCATCTAAGTCCTTGCCAAGTATATACACACCAATAAAATTAAATTGTAACTTTTAAAATCCCATTTATTACTAACGCTTTTATCTGTAATTGTTGTGTTTGTCATTGTGTCGTCTATAACCTTTTTATATAACCCTTTTAGGTCACTCAACCGGCCAATAGTGGAAGATGCGTAAAACTGAAAAAAAACTGATCATCTGTAGTACTCAACCCTGACATTGGCAGTATTGTCTAAGGAGACAACAGCCAGCCTTTACAAAAAATAGAATAGAATTCTTTCTAGCCTTTCTTAAACTGCAAGGTAGCGCCATCTCTTCGCATTATATGTAACTCACAATGTCAAATGAATACCTTTACAAGTATTAGACATTTAAAAGAAGAAATAGCAATTAAAGTCATTATTTGAATTTTTTAAGCATGTAACTGCTCAATGTTTGAATCTAAAGTAAATATTACAAGAAAAAATTTAAAAAAATACGGCAAATACTTAAAAAATGCAAATTAATTAAAAAAATAAATAAATAATGTTTGTTTTTTTTTATCCCACATCTGGGGCCGGTCTTTATATACTTCGATCACTCGTGTCCAAACTTCATGCTCATTATGATCTGCCGCCATCTTGATCGAAATACGTGCGGTGCGTGTGACAGCTACTAACCGACTGACTGAGAAATTGGCCCAATCGCGCTACACACGCGGCAACGTGCAGGCCGGTTGGGACAATCTAGTGAGCAAGGGTCGCGCGCTCCTGCCGCCCTGCCGCAGGCCCGATGTAGAAAATTGCCCCAACTTGCCTACACACATCACAATTCAGGAGGCAATTAAGGGTCATCCCCACTTTTACACCCTAGATTGTCCCTGCGGCAGGCATGTCAGTAGCGCGTTTTAAGTGTGTAAACCGACTCAGTGACTCCCAAAACATTTTCACAATCCCTATTATCATATCAACCCGATGGACGGCGCTAAAAGGAGAGCAAGGAAAGATGTTTATTTCACTATAGGCGCGGATCCAGCTGTCAAAAAAGGTTATGATCAGTAAGTAGTTATGGTCAGATCAGTAAGTATCATAGTAAACCGGCCAAGTGCTGAGCGAACTCTTAAGTTCACTCACGAAAATTACAAAAGTGGAAAAGTTCTGAACCAATAATATGAAACTTACAATTTCCAAGGATATTGAAATTGTTAAAATAAATGCTAATTAGTATATAACACTTTAAAGTAAGTACAAATTAAAGCTTACGTCGTTTTTTGCAAAAGCTTAATAATATATTTGATAACCAGATTCATATTTTTGGGTTTATATAGAAAGAATGATCTGTCATCTATTTTTGAAATAAAGTTCAAACAACAAATCCAACAAGTAAAAGCTTAACATAATTAAATACACAAAGTGCAGTGCTATTTTGACTGAGTTTCTCTGTGTCACGTCTGATTCTTGATGAGTTTGGCAGCTGCTATGCAGCAGCATACACAAATACTCTGTATTATTCTAGAAATTCTCATTGTATCTTGACAAAAGTGGCACTACCTACCCACTCAATTCATTCATATATGTAAGCTTTCTTAAAGTTACATAGTGAATACAGTACAACCTTCCACATCTAACTGTAGTGTTAATTTGATCCTTCTATTGTGAATGATGTGCAGCACACCACCAGTGTTTCTTCTTTATGTCCATGAACTGGTAGTAGTTAAAAGTTGTAACATTCAAATAATAATTGACTATAAAATTGTCATAAAAATGTCTATGTGACCTTTGTTAGTCTAGGTATCATTAGATCTAGGAAAAATAATAACACAGTATTTCAAAAAATCAACTTCAATTTACTCTCAATTTCTTATCTTGCTTTTTTGGAATTTATGCAATACAAATGTTGTAACATAATTACAATAGTTAACAGTTATTAAATTTTAAATGCAGAATTATCATTATTTATTTAATATTCTTAACAATGTCATGGAGTACTCAGATTGCTGCTATCGTTATTGTTTTGAATGTTATAATCCAAAATATATTTTACTATGTATTGAAAACAATATAATGAGTTTACCCCATAAAAGCTGGAATTCTAAATATTATATTTTACTAAAATGTGGGTTTTACATTGAACTATGGATTTTATCCAATTTTACAATAATAATAAGCCCTAATATAAATATTCCAGGCAAGTTTTAGGCATTTAATACACTATTTTAAACAGGCTACAATAATAATAAATCATTAATTTCCAAAATACGATCGAAACTAACACAATGTGCCATGACATTGAATGTTTGCTATGGCGAAGAAATTAATTTTTCATACATATATTATTTAAACACAAAAATTTGGGATCGTACATCAAACAACCTGATTTTATAATTAACAATATTTAAGAATTTGAATAATTACTATAGCATTCCAATAGCATAATTTATCACCTTGAGTAGCGATTTTTTCCGTATACCTTTTCTAAATTAGGATTATAGTGCATGGTTATAATGCACGAATATAATAAGCATTGCTCTCGACGACGTGCGGAGAGCGAGAAGCCAGCTCACATCGACACTATCATTATCTCATGGGATGTCGATTCTGGCTGACACCTTTAGAAGCTATACTCCTTACATCAGACCGTTTCCAGTCTCACGAAGTATGTGTAAAACAGCCATTTTAAGCCCTAACTGTTTCACGTCGTGTTATTATATCACACGAAAAGATCAACGAATTTAACTAACATACTTTTGCGATACACAACGCAAAACATGGAAACAGGCCGATTATAATTTCCTACTGTTATTACTGTACAGCAGACACATTCCGTTGGCAAAGAATAAAAATAAAAATAAATATTTAATTTAGCTATAAATTGCCTAGTTACCAACCGGAACGGGCTTTGTGAACACGCAGGTGGTCAATAACAAGTCCATTCTTACAGAGGTCCGTGTAAGACTACAACGGTCCACGAATACACATAACTCTCTATCCTAAGCGATTACAATAATAATAATTTAAGACAAATATTTACACATCACCAATATCCACTATTAAATAAGGACTTAATTAGAATAATTTATGTTAAGATAGTCGGGATATATACTAATTAATAATAGGAATCAGTCATTCAGTTTTCAACAGCGGTTGGTGTGGCCGATGTCGTCTCGTGGCGTCTCCGTAGGTGCGGGCTCATTAGCCCGCTGCAACATGTGACGGCGCTTAACGCCCACGGCGCTCGGCCAGTGCAACGCTCGAGGAGATATCTCGTCGCGAAGACTGAGGCTGACCTGTCTCCGTACTGGATACAAGGCTTACAGTACCCTAGATGTGTGCACGCGCCGAGCGGGGGGCGGGAGGGTACGGGCGCGAGTCCCAGGGGCCGCGGCGGCGGCGCGGGCGCGACTCGAGGCAACGTCGCACCTGCTTAAGTCGTATCTCGCCCGTATGTCCCGATGCGAACCTCGTCTATTACGCGCGTCCATTCTAGCGCGTACGATTCGGGATCTTCAAGATAGTAGGTACGATTAGGCTGTGGACAAAGAAATACAAATTTAATTAAACCAGCTGCACATTAAAGTCACTCACTTTTCATAAAGTAATTTATAAATCGTGTAAGAAGAAGCCGGTGAAACTTACCGTGTGCACCAAAAATATTCTAAAGTTTTTGGCTTCTACACGTAGCTCGGGTGACCAAGGAATTTCTCCTTTAAGGATCATGTTAGTGGGATCCACATAGAAGAGACGAGGGCCGGTTGTGAGTAAAAGCATACGACGACGAGGAAACAGTCCCTTTCTTTTGTCCACATAGCCTTGTTTTAATATTAATTCTCCATCGACAAATTGATGCCATTTATTTTCACGTGATTGAATTTCCAAGCGTCGACGCTTCTCTTCAGGACTGATGTCTAATATACCTGTAAATAAAAAACATTTACGTCAAGTTTACGTAGAAATCGAATTAAAAACAAAATATCCAATGAGCATTCGCAGACGATGAACGCATCAGTTATAATATTCATAGTTGTGCAGTGCGATTCATCAGCTGATCATAAGGCCGTTATTAATAAAGAGCTGGGTCGGGCTCATTCATGATTTCATATGGCGCAGGCGGCAAAGCGCGTGGAACTTGGCCTATGCGGCGTGCCGGAAGACTGACGTCATGCATACTATACAACCGTAAACTAAGAACTGAGGACTTCCGTTCTGAATTGTAAGTACAAGCGAATACGATGACGCAGCTTGCATTTGCAGCATCGGCATGTACCATAAACTTCAGAAATAATGTATTTGAATATTAACTGTAGCTGCATACCGTATGAATTCTTATTACTTTATTAGCAAGGAGATCGTAAAAACGGAATATTACGGACTCGGTTCAATTATGAAACGAGACTCGTATAAATTTGCCAAGAATTTATGTCACGGACGCTCCGGTCGCCTCTTACTCGTCGCTTCACTGCACTCACTCAAGCCTTTATAATTGTCCACATCTATGCACCAGCAACGCTAACTAAAATATTAGTTTCTACGTACAAAGTTGTATATACTTAAGTGTAGTCAATATTTTATGACAAATTAAATTAAAATTACCTTTAGATGTAGATAAGTCGAATTCCCACAGACGCACGAGTTGATTGTTGCCCAAACCAGGTTCCAGGTGATCAGGGATGTTGTATTCTTCTTCGAATGAGCCTCCGGGTAAATAGGGACTAATTGTCGGTGGGGTTTGTTCCCAAATATTTTCCCAATCAATTCCAGCGAAGAATGGATGACTTCGTATACTTTCGTACGTATCACCCTTGTCGTTAGCTCCTATTCTCTTGGTGTGATCCAAAACTAACAATTTTTCAACCAAATCTTTAGCATCAGCGGGAAAGCCTTCAGGAAATTCATAGTCCATTTTCAGGATTTTCTGGAAAGTAAGAAACTCTGTAGCGGCGCGGAAAGGCGGTAATCCAGAGATCATTTGGTAGATGATGCAACCTAACGCCCACAGGTCGGAAGTGCGGGTGTCTACACAGTTATGCAGAAGTTCGGGGCTCACATATTGTGGTGTCCCAACAAAACTAATTTTCCTAGAACGTTCGTTCCTTGTTGGATCCTCTTCTTGGACCACAGGAGCAGATTTAATTTCTTTTGGATCCATAATTTTTGCCGTTCCGAAATCGGCAATTTGCAAATGCATATTCTCATCCAGTAGAATATTTTCAGGTTTTAGGTCTCGGTGGATTATTCCTTTAGCGTGCATTTTCTCTAATGCCGATAATAGTTCAGCTGCATAAAATTTTGCTACGTTTAATTCGAAAGACCCAACTTTATTAATATACGACAATAATTCGCCATTCTTCGCGTACGACAATACGAAGTATAATCTATCAACATCTTGGAACGTGCAATATAGTTTGACAAAACCATGTGGAACTTTGAAAAGCATATTTAAGGCATCTTTCTCCCGTTTGATGTATTCCATTTTCTTTTTTCGGATGATATGACGTTTTTCGCAAACTTTAACTGAAAGAAAATAACACATTTTGTTATTTATTGTGGCGAAACTTATATCAAGTATTTTAATAAAAAAGTGGTCTTTTTTTTTTAATTACGAATTCCGTTATATATAAACACTTACTTGCATACTCTTTTCCACTGTGTATGTCTTTAGCTAGGAACACTGTGCTAAACATTCCGTCTCCAATAAGTTTTCCGAAAATGTAGTCTTTGGCTGTTCGTTTCGTGGGTTTGATTGACTGACTGGGTGCGGGGGACGACGTGGGCGCCGCTGTAGGAGCGGGCGATGCTTGCATCTTAGCTGGAGATTCTACGACGATTTCGGCTGCTGCAATAGGGGCCTTAACCTCGTTAGTGGTTCGGCCACTCGTCTGCAACAAATAAAATTTCGGTGAGTGATAATGTTTTGTATATCGTACCGGTCGTAGCCTGCTAGTAGAGGCAGCGTTGGCGCGTCAACGCGCTCTGAAAGCGTGCACTTGTTTATCGCATGGCGGATACAACGTTGGCGGCGGCGACGACGTTGGGTTGGTGGCTTACACGTTATGTGCGGTGGGGGCCAGGGGCAACGCGCCGTCTGGCGTGTTAGTATCTTGAAAATTAGGTGACCAAAAAAAAATATACAAGTTCTTAACCTTGTTAAAAAAAGCCCAAGTAGAACTATTTGTAAATACAACATATCCAATAAATATATTTTGAAATAAAAAATGAAAGTACTGAATATTTTAGTCTCAGAACTGAGTAGAAATCGCCCTGATTCCGCGGGAACTACTTTCACATGAATCATTGATAATTGTGATGTCACAGACCACCTGCTTATTATGATTGTTACTGAGAGTTCAAAACTCGAAACGACACGTTGCTATAGCAAAATATATAACACAGATTAGTAATGTGAAAACTCCTAAATAGTTTTTATCTTGGAAAGTTTGTACACAATTCGAAATAATGCCACCCGCCACGTTCATTGGCCTCACCTACAGTTCGATGATCTAATTTCTAAAGTCCGCGACTGTGTTTTTTGTTCATTTTCTGATAGAAGCGCCGTCTAAGAAAAAAAACCGCTTCCATTCAACAACACAAGTAAGATGAGATACAGAGTGCTGCAATTCGCAAATTCTTTCTCTTTCTAACAACAGTACAACTTCCGAGACGTGGTTAACGGTTAATTGGCCAAACACAAACTTGATGAGAAGCAAATGAAAGTACGAAATACCGTTGCTTCTACTTTTGGCGGATGTTTTAATATAATTGAAATTTTACTTATTTTCTAATGAGTATGTTTATTTAAAGATAGTGAATTATAGATTTAATACAAAATTCCGAGACAATAGTTTTATTATTTATCATCATTTGCGTATAAGACTCATAAAAACCTAAATTTCCAATGAAAGTCATTTAATGTATATACATTTAGAAAATATTGCACTAAACTCATTTCAGCGGTATCTATGAATTGTTTGCAGATAACGATCGGAGTCCAGAAATAGAATGATCAGGCCTTCCAAGAATCTCATAATAAGGAGCAAAGGATTTATGAAATGCATCCATGAAAGACAAGAAGACTTGAAGAAGACATGAGTCACCTAATATTGAGTCGGCGGGGCAGCAAATTGGTCTCGAATTCCGCGGCGGGCGACGCGGTGCGGCGTAGACTGGCGCGCTGAGCAACGGTACTTTGAGCGCATTCCCACAGTAACGCATTCCGCATCGTACACTCCAGCCATGCTCGGCCTCGATCCCCACCACAATGGCCGCGTCCAGCACACACATCCATCAACCAATTTTTATTGCACAAGCGACATACCGCCGACAGTTAATGCGCTTCGAACAAGTTTGAGAGTAGCTTTGAAATAAGCCGACATATTATTGCCATCCTACAACCTACGTAAGCATGACCCATGCATATACAAAAGCTGACTTAACCAGTTGTAAAAATAACATATCAACTTGTAAAATATCTAGTCTTTTGTAGTTCAATCCCCCCAAGGAGCATTAGTTTTGATATTAAATGAGCACTATTGTGACTCGGTTGAATGTTTATAAAATTGTGGGTAATCTGCAAGTTGTCTTTGAGTGAAAGTGATATTATCTACGATGACGATATAATATCACTGATACTCTTAACCAAAATGTGTTAGAACAACTTTTTTTTGATTGTACATTATCCTCAAGTTCGTCATAGAATAAGTAACCTTGTAACAAATAAGTAAAGGCGGATGTGGAGCCATATTGCAAGACCATTTACTCCGCCTTGCATCCGGCTGCAGCATGTAGATTGGTAGGCGGCGGGCGTGTGCATACCATTCAGGACAATCACTACAGAGCTTCGAGCTTATGTTGTGAAGATTATAGATATTTAGATCTGCACAGATACGATACCCATGCAAAAATATATTTATTATAAGCAAATATTTGATGAAGACTACTTAGCTTTATTGGAATTTTCAATCGTTATAACAATGTTTATGTGCAAATTCCAAACAACAGATACGTTAATTGCTAAAAGATACGATTATCAAAATATAATTTAATTTAAATAGATAGGTACCTAATAACAGTGTTTTCGACTTCATGTCATTTGTTGACACAAGAATGGTAACTCAGATAAATATCAAAATTTGACCAGAATTTGCGACGAACATAAGACTATGGTGAAAAATTACACACAAACCTAAAGCTAATAATACGCCCAATAAAAATTTGATTATTGTCGAAAACATCAGTTTGTGACTTATAAAATTGTAGCCAGAAAACAATAACTCTATTAAAGGAAGGAATACCACTTGGTGTCGTCGTTATAGACGAGTCGACGAATGCGGATCATGAGGCGTTCGTTCGTAGTGGTACAAAGGTGGTCACGCCGGCGGCGCGTGAACAAACAAGTGCGCGCCGCCGTGCCCGCTCTTCAGTTTTTGCATCACATCATAAACAACTCAAGTCGTGAACGGTGCAATGGATAGTCCACTGTACAATCGCGCTACACGCTGGGAAATTTTTGGGCGAAAGTACAGTAACTACTACGTTATTTAGCGAAAGTTTGTCAACAGAGCGGTTGCTCTCTAGATCAAAACAAACCATTCATCTCAATATTAAAACGTAGTTTAATATTTTAACATATTCAAACGTTGTATAATAGCGGCAAAATAAATAAAACTAGTCAGAAAAAATAAATCATAGCATTGTTATTAATACCTAGGTATTCAAAGAGAGATAATTCGTTCACTTATTTAGTTCTGAGCCTTTCACTTTCTTGTTAATGTAACTTTATTGCTTTACTAGGTACGTTTAATTAAAATTTTCACAGTATGTACATATTATGAAATCGCTAGTACAATATGAGGATTCATTTATTTATTGACTAAAGACCCAAACAAACAAGCGGGTTCATGGGAGTAACAAACGCGTGAAGTCGTTGACCTTACCTTAGATTTGGGTGAGGGCTGTTTCCCGCGCTTTGACGAGCTAACGCCTAGTAGCCTAAGAATCCTGTTAGCTGCTTCGAGAAGAGTTGCACTACCCCTCGATCCTCTTTTAACTCTGATGGTCAATCCACTCATTTCGACCCGTTGTCGTACAGGTTTATTTTGCCGTTTTATTATTTTTCAAAACGTTTAAAATCACGATCACAGCTCATGTAGGAATTGTAGAATTTTATGAAACACTGTTTCAACGTACTTAATATGTAAATAAATTTGACTAAGGAATGCAGAATGCAACTGGAATTGTTAACTATAATAACAAATAAACATTCGTCGATACGAGTTTAGGGAACGCGAGCGCGCGTGCGTTATGTAAGGCGGCGCGTTGCGGACTGGCTGACTGAACGAATCGAACGAACACGGTCAATGCAAACCAAGCACTACGCTACGTCCCCACTCGCTCGCTAGACGGAATAATCGCACGGAACGTACGGGGGCGAAACGCGGTGCGGCGGGCGGGCAGGCAGGCGTAGTAACGTTGTGTTGATGTAGATGTGGCGCCTCGACCCCTACCTACCTTCGTCTCCGTACTGCGGGTGCATCGCGGGACACCCCCTACCTCCCATTTGTCGCTGGGACTTTAATGTACTTGTTTATAAGAATAAAAATATGTGGTAAACATTTATTTCTATGCATGAAACTAAAAATACTGTTATAATAATCAAAAAAAAATCAGTTAAGATGCTTTTAAAATAACATTTGTTTTGCTTTCACGACAACGTGGTTTCTGTCCATGTGGCCGTATTTTGTAACATTCAGGGGCGGTTTCAATGCGAGCCAGTAGGAACGGTGCGGGGAGGGAGGGGATTCTATGCCGAGCGCGGGAAACGAAGAAAATCAATAGCGCCAAGCAAGATGCAATGAGATACGCTCTGCACCGATCACAGAGCACCCCCAGCGATGCATTCGACCAACGCCACATGCGGATATCGATGCTTGAGTTCTTCTATCAAAATGAAGTCATACCTAAACTAATGCCTATTTTGTCATGCACTATTTCATAAACAGCGTACGTCAGGAAGTTAGGATTATTTGCTTAAGTACTTATTCATGCAGTTACAAAATTAAAACAGTATTGAATTTGCTTAAATTCTAAGAAAACATAATGCAAAAAACTGTTTGCAAGAACATTATAAAGAATAAGGTATTTGACAAGTTTTAGGAAACGATCTCACGGTATTTACTTATGTTTATAGAGTCCATAAAAAGGATATTCATCATTATGTTATGTATGTCGGTAAAAAATACTAAATAAAAAAAACTCTTTTCGAGTTGCCGCGAAAACGTGTCTCTGGACAATATCTCACTGGTGTGTGACGTCACACGACTGTTATTAAAACGTCAAACCATACAATGTAATGTCACTTTAACCGGAAGTTTACTTGCGTGTGACGTCATTTTACGCTCCACCAATCCCAAGTGTTTTGGGTCACGTGACAATAGACAAGAAAACTATTATCTTTATCGTGGGTTTTTAGTAAAATTATGATTATTTTTTCTGTAAAAATAGTAAAAACTCCTGCCAATATTCATTCTAAATACAGATGCTAACAAATTATTTTTAATACTGTCAAATACCCTATTGTGGTAGGTAAGAGAGAATGAATTTAAGTGAAGAAGCGTCCGTCTGTGGAAGTAGCCTCCACTTTACAGAAGATCACAGTGTAAATGCCATGACTTTGGACAATATTGTGTTTCTCTCGGTAAGGTAAGGTTTAATGGATTCATGGAAGTTAGGGTAGGTAACGCACAAGTGTTAAAGAAATACCTATTGACTGAAGAATAAATTCTTGCAGACAATGAAAGATAAAATCTGTTTTTTTAAGAAATCATACAATACAACGAACCGTTGTTGATTTAAAAATAAGATCTGGGTTGGGTTTGTCGCCGGATAGTCGGCGACCGTCATGGCCGGCGCGGCGTGCCACTTGAATGGGCGGCCGTTATGCACCGAACTGAGAGGACGCGCGCGCGCGTATTCAGTCATAAAAGTCATAATCATATTTACGCATGAGGGCAAACAACTATACATTTAGGTCCATGCATTCAACAGAATAACGTGTTATTCTATTGTTCTAAGTGATCATCTTAATAAAATCTGTTGTCGTTCTGGCTACATAAATGTATTTTTGCCAGTGCACAGAATCAGTTAATTTTCTAAAGAAAACATAAATAATGGGGAACTGTTACGATATTAGTTGAGAATGCAGATTTATAGAGCTAAGGATTCCATAAAATACAGTGGTTAAATTTTTGTTCTACAACAAAAATTGACGAAGTTATGATGACCAAATTACTTAACGAATTTTCGCTTCGCCGCGTGTTGGCTGTGACGTCACAGAGCTCTAGCGCTCGGGGGCGAGCGTACGTAGAGACGCTACTGAAGTTCGACCGGAGTGAACCACGATCGAGCTCTGTGACGTCACACGTTTCGGCCGCCGGTGAATATTGACTACCATAAAATTAGTTATAAAATCGCAACGAATGAACCGATTTCGATGATTTAAAAAACATATTATTTAAAAAGCTTATTAGGTCATTATAATGTTGATTTTGAGTTAATTTGCTGGCCTATTAATGACCCTCATTGACTACTGAACAGCAATCCCTGTTTGTGCTTGTTTGGCGGCTTACATTCCAAATTAAACTCAATAACGTTCTTTAACAAATGCACGTTTCAAAACTGCTCTTTGTAATAGACGCTTACTTATTTTAAAGATACGATTCATAAGTTAACAGTGGAGACGAGCCTATTGTGGAAGGCTCCCATCTCGTCGTCGGCGCACAGCTGTCGCGAGCACGTGCGTCCGACCCGTGCTCAAACGTATTCTGACAAATGTAAAACAACATGACTATATATTAATGTAAACAAAATATACTCTCTGTTTACTTCATTAGAGCCTTGCAATAAGCCATCTTCATAGTTTATTTTAACATATTATATGTATAAAAGCGTGGGGCGCTTCATTATTCAATTTTAACTGAATTGTTAAGCATTATGAATCACGTAACATATTGATTTCATAAAAATTGTAATGAATAGCGCCCCACGCTTTTTCAGTGAAATATATATATATATATGTGTGTGTGTGTGTTAAAATAAACTATAAACATGGATTATTTAAGGCCCTAATGAAGAAAACAGAGAGTATATTTGTTTATTTTTGGCTTTTTAATGCAGTAAATAAAAGCATGTTTTTAGTTTTTTAAATATTAATTGATTTTTCTCTTTTTAGTTTATTACAAAACAAAGAACGGGTTTGTTGCGGCTGAATATGCATACTACATCTCGGGATCTGGTTTTATTATCCCCCTTTAACGTGAAATAAACAGAATATATTAAATTTGAATCTAATGAGTCCAAACTCGATATGTTTACTAGTAGGCAGTCGAAGGTTCCATCAGCCACCTTCCAGTCCAACCATCAGACCAGCTCGATGGTACCACAATATTGTATTGTCATCTAATCGACATAATTGCCAAGTTTTATGATGATACAAGAATTAGAAGTGCGTGTAATTCAGATTCTTTTATTACACAGTTCGTTACAAGTCGACCTAATATAAGAGTGTTAAAAAGTGCATAATATTTCATTGAGACACATTTAAAATACCTTTAATAAAACTAAATGTATAGCAAAAAAATACAACTGCCCACCTAACCTAACTTCTAGCCTTGCATTGTAATGTAAATATTTCTTTGCTGTGTAATATATACTTTATTGGGGATCATTTAAACATTTTATTGATGATTTTCTTCCATATTTAGGCATTTTAAATTGAATAAAAAAAATGCACATCTACGAAAAACTACTTCTTTAAGAAAGCACAGGGACTTGGGCAGAATCTAACATTTTGTATTATTATAACAGTATCTAAGAACAACAAAGCCTACACAGGTAATAGAAAGCTAATATAAAGGAATACAATGGTTTTTTTTGTAAGATGACATACACCGCCTTGGAGAAAATTTACTTAAGAGAAAGATGGCCGGGATTTATGCTGTTTCAAACAAAAATTTGGATATACGTCATCCTCTCCTAGAAAGACGTTTTTAGAAAAGGTTTCATTTACCTTTAAATACACAAAAGAGATAGAGGCAGATGGTTTAGGACGGTTTTTTGCAGTCGGAACAAGGGACGCCACTGTTGCCTGAAGCTTTACTTAAAAGAAAATAAAAGCTACCTCGAGCAATGAACTTACCACCTGGCAATGTTTTTATGTGATATTTTATCCATATGGTGAAATGGAACAAGCAGATATTAATACCTATTAGATACATATTTTATCATTTTAAGTAGATAGAGACGATCAAATACAATATACAATAATAATGTAAACGTTAAATCTAATGACACTTAAGTTGCGTTGCTTTCAAATCATTTCGAACAAGAAACTGTTTACCTGTTTTTTTGTTGTTTACAATGTGTATGTAAATTAGAGTTCATCGAATGTCACTGCATGTCCGCTACGATGAATTATTTCAATTCAGTTAAATAGCACTTGCACATACTTTAAAATAATGGGTTGTTGTTTCGACAACGTATTTAATTTACATTCATGTGATATAAACATAACTACTGACATCCTCATGGACCAATCCACCTCAAAACGCACATTTTACAGTTAAATCTAGTAGACATTATCATAGACTTTTGTCGAACTGTTGTGTCATTAGTGATAAATAACTTGATACATTACTTTAACTGTGACTGTAGGTTTACCTCAATATAAGTGGAAATTAATTCAATAGGATTTAATACAATTAATTGCCTATATTTTTCTAAAACGTGCAGACAAACAAGTGCACAGACCAACGGACAGCAGTAGTAATAATTTCTTAACTACATTTTTTTGTTATATGTATAAACTAAAAAAATAAATGAAAAGATATGCTGACTTTATAATTTAATATGTCTAGTTTTCAAAACACCTCTTTATTAGTATCTAACATTTTTTTTTTACAATAAATAGGCTTACGCTTGACAGCCACGCGACTGATGAAGCAGCCTAAGGTGGGACGCGCTTGCCTAGAAGAAACTGATTCACTCGCGACTTGAAGAGCCCCAGATTGTAGGTGATTGGAAACAGAGATTCCGGCAAAGAGTTCCACAACCTAGCTGTTCTGACGATATAGGTGGAAGCAAACCGTTTAGTACGAGTTTGCGGGACCTGTACGGTATATCTGTGGCGTTTTGCCGTCTCTCTGGTGGTTCTGTGGTAAAAAGGTGAAGGTGGAATTAAGTTGTGTAACTCCGAGGCACACTCTCCGAAATGTAACCGGTAAAAAACCGATAAAGAGGCAACTTTTCGCCTGTATTTAAGA